GGATAAGTAGAGCGAGTCATCAAACTGTTGTACGCAAGTTTTTATATGATTGATGCCTAAGAGATTGTGGTTTATATGTGGAGATGAATGATGGAGCCAATCACATGATTTTTCTTTGGCATGTGATTTCTCGTTGGTATTATTTATTATTGTTATTATAGATGCAATTGAAATAGAATCCATGGAATAAAAGCTATGCCAAATTTCTCACTGACAAAATATGCCATTTTTCTGTATGAGTGCATTATATAGCTTGACTCTTTGATAATATATTTCCTGTCAGTCAGTTTTATTGAAGGAATTCCATCTAGGGTTCTTGTGTATGATTGATATTGTTCTGGTGGAATTAACTCATGATGTAGATAGGTGGAAAATGCATAATTTGGAAATTAGATGTAAGTATCATTGGATGATTGCAAAACTAATGCAATGGTACTTGCCTTTTGGATCAGCTTCATGGGTGGGTTTGTTTTGCTCAAATATGGCCATATGGTACTTGGCTCAAATATATAAAAAGTAGATGTTTTTATGTAATTCTCATCATAATGTGATCATAACTTACGTAAAATAAAGCCATGAGCTTGGATTGGCTTAAATTGTTGATTTATTATGTCTAAGAAAGCTGAAACATGATATACTGACTCATTGTAATGGAGTGATATATGTTATGTGCTCTGGCCTGCTGAGGTGAAGTCACCTTTCGTGTTGTCAAATGTGTTTTCTTTTGTTTCACATAATCATGCTGCAAAACAGGAGAATTTTTTTTTTTTTTTGGAGGGAGTGTGAGGGAAAAAAGACTTAGTTAGGTTGATTTGCTGATAAGGTGATTTTCTATCTTTCAAATCCAATTTGGTTGTTTTGTTGTTTAAAATGTTGAATGCATAAAGTTCATTATATCGGTATTGCTTTTCAAACATTTACAGAAGGTGGGCTTTTAGTGTCATCCATCTATTTGCAATATTTTGGTCAATAATATTTTTCAGCTTGTTGTAAGAATCTTACTGTAGAACCGGCTGTACTGGTGTCTAGATTTACACATTCTGTGATTCCAGGTAATTTCAGCTTCACTGAGAAAACGACGGTAAAACATGCTGGAGCTGCTGCGATGTACTTTGTATCCAAGAACCTGAAGAAGAAGTACAATATTACTGACGAACGCGCATTTTCTACTCTGCATATGGTACCAGTACAGTCGTACATATCATGAATACTGAGCTAATATGAGCGCAATTTTCTAATGCTAATAGAACAAGTTAATTCCTTGTTGGGAAAGAAAGGGCACAACAGCAAACAGAAGGAGAAACGTGTGCCACCATGGCTAAATTGCCTTGCAACAAGAACTGAGTCTAGCCCTAAATCTCCATGTTAGAAGACATGAAAGAATGTCTGGCTTCGGGCTCCCCTCCCCCCACGAAGGGTAGGAGTTCGAATCCCAGCACTGGCGTTAGGGATTCTTAAGCGTGACGTCGTGGTGGTGGGTCCTGCGCTAGCGTCACCCCGGGTTTACCTCCCCGGCTGTCGGCCCTGCGGGGGTTCCCGGGTTACCAAAAAAAAAAAAAAAAGAATGTCTGGCGTTGTGCTTCAAGCATAATTATATTAGGCACTACCATAATTACATAATTTCATGTCCGACGGTAGAAGTGCAAAGTAAGAGATTATACAATGTCCTTTTCTTATTTATAATTTACGATAGCTCATTAATGTCGCCAAACCCGAAATCTTCATGTCGAAAGATATGAAAGAATGTCCGGCGTTGTGATTCAAGCACAATTATATTAGGCACTCCCATATGGTGGGAACCCAAGGCGTTCACAGACATGAGCAAAGTGCTTGCAGCAAAATGTCGTATTCTTCTTCAATCTGCATCCCGAAAAGAAGTTCCATGTGTACCCGTTATTGTGCACATACGTAGAACTGACTCAAAAAATGTAACCCATATTTTGAGCAGATAAATTACCTCTTTTTGTATTTTCAAGGACTTATCCAGTTTAGCAACCTTATCAGCAATTGCGGATATCATAGACTTCTCCTTCTTTCCTGTTATGAGCAAGTAATAGACTTAGTATGATAGCAATAAAATATTAGGCGAGTTTGATTTAGTTCTAAGGGATTGAAGATAATAGAAGAGAATCTGAACTCACTTATTTGTTCATATTGCATGAAGAGCCTTTCCTTCTCCTCCTCAAATTTGGAAATAATATCTATGGAAGCAGACGAATGACGGTATGATGGGGAAAGGACATGGCCAACATAACCAAATATGGGATCAGACTAGCCAAGAACATTCTATTGGGAAAAACTCAAAGAAAACTCAATCATGGTTCATTAGGTATATTTCTTTAAGAAGAAGGTGCGTATGTTACAAGCTAATTTATTAGGGAAACATACAGTTTTTCAAGCATTCTCTCAAATTGTAGAACCTCATCTCTATCTACATTGTCATTGTACTGTTGTTACCTCTATCTACAATTTCATTGTATTATTAGAAAACCCAATGTAAATGGTTTTTCCCTATAAACGACTTGCAACCAATAAAGTTACCATTTAAAGCCTGCAAATGGGCTTGCTGATGAGAAGCTTTATCCTCGCAACACTTCTCATTAAGTTCATGGAACTTGGCGGTTGCATTCCCGCTATTTTCACACTACACATCATCATCACATCAAGTGAAATTCTCTCCGAGCAAAAACCACGTCACCAAGGTAGACCTTGTTCAATAGAATGAAAATATTATAGTTTTCCTCACTTACTTCTCCAAAACTCTGTTGAAGTAACTTCACAAGAGATTGACTACATAAAGAACGTATTCATTAGATATAAACATTGTACTGAAACAAAGTTAATAATTGCATGTATCTATTTGAATTTACCTATTCTTCTCATGTTCCGACTTCAATTCATCAACCATTGACTTGATCTGAGACATCAAACTATCCGGCCAAGGACCAATAACAAGAAAGTAATAAATAAGAAAATGATCACGATAAAATGACCATGGGAAACCTCAAGACAAAAGAGTTCAATATAACAATGCAAATAGTGTTTTTGTCATTGAAATAGAACATGGATCGGCTTAATTAATTAAGCAACTTTATACGAATTGAACAAATATAATAAGCCATGAGTAAGCTAATATCAGCGTATATGAAACCAGGTGAAGCCATTCAAACCTCAATCCAAACGTCTCTTTTGTCAAATGAAAGGTACAAAGAAGAAAATCAGCGATCATGCTCTCACATGATATCTAAATCCTAGAAGAAAATGAAGCAAAGGATTCAGTATTCCACCAACATTAATGTTATCAGCATGCTTATTATTGAGTACTCAACTAGTGGAATCTGATTCAGCCTGCAAAGGGAAAGATAGGAACAAGCGTTCCAAACATCAATAGATAAAATCTCAAGAGTACGGTCAATTCAGCGCAACACAAGCTCGATGTCTATTGAAAGGTAAATCGATTCAACACTTGAGCCCTTAAGCTTAATCAGAGCAAAATTTCACGCACTCGCCGACTAACATAATGAATCAACATTCATTCAACTTAACCAGTCACTTCAGATCGACAATACTAATAAACTTTGATCCGCTAGTAAATTAAAATCAACTAGACATTGGTAAATCCCAACGTAGTTACTTAACTCGACAAGTTCTGTAGAAGTTCCACATCGACAATACCAGTAAATTTTGAAATGCACGGCTTAAATTCAAATCTGAACTGGTCAAGCTAATTTCATTGATGAAAGCCTGCCCAGGGACAGGCAAATCTAACCTAGTAGATTCATAGACTACACGAGCCAATAGCCAGCAAATGTTTGAGGGAGAGAAAGAATTTCTCTCGGAATTTGGGTGGGATTTCTGGAGTACCCATCTCATCGCTCCAACAACTTTTTGGGCGAAAGGTAGAATGTGCAGTGCAGTGCAGTGCAGTGCAGCACAGGCATAAGAAATAAGTGTGAACGGGGGGGACTGTCACAAATCGCAACCCATAGACTCAACCTATCAACCTATCGGACGAATATCAGGAAAAGATAAAAAGGCGAAACAAGTCGAATCACCTCGATATAGTCTCTTCGTTCTTCTTATTGAACTTCCGATTTTCCTCTACCATGGACTTTAACCGGTTGATATTACTGCAACAGTTCAAATTTTCACGTCAGATTTCTCAAATCAAGAGTGCAAAACAGAAATTACTTCAGAACTTACGCATAAATCGATTGCTCGATCGACTCGGAGACATCAGAATCTAGTCCGCTTGTCTTTCTCTTCATTTTTTTTGGGAGAGAGGAGAGCTTGTGTGAATCGCAGAGCTTTTGGGGAAGAAGAAGGGCTCCTTGGCTGGCTATGTTTCGAGGGTTTCCGATGGCTGAGAGCGGGCAACTTTTTCTCTCTTTTCCGAATTTAAAATAGGGCAGCGCTATTTCCGATTAAATTCATCCAACCGCAAAAGGACAAAATTATCCCCGGTAATTCAATTGCAATTTACTTTCCTCTTTTTAGCTTTTTTTCATTTTTATGCAGGATTTAGTTGCATAATTGAAAATTTTAGTTGTCTTGTTTTCGTTTATTGTGGGTGCCCATTTTTCTTTGACGTTAATACCACAAAAAACCTAAAATTGATACACTTGTGATAAATTTATCCCAAACTAACTTTTGGACCACCAAAAATCCCAAATCGGTACATCTATAATAAATTTACCATGTCACAGTGTGTCATATACGTCAGCAAATTTAACGTTAAAAATTGACGGAAGCTAACGGAGAGTAAATTTATCACAGGTGTATCAGTTTGGAGTTTTCGGTAATCAAAAAATTAATTTAGGGTAAATTTGTCACATATGTATCAGTTTTGGGTTTTTGATGATAAAAAAATTAATTTATGATAAAATTATCGTATTTGTACCAGTTTGAAATATTTCGTGATCAAAAAATTAATTTTAAATAAATTTATAGTAAGTGTACTAGTTTTTTTCGTAGCATTAACCCTTTATTTTTTTGGAAAAACCCATACGACATCGCCGCGACAAAGTCCGAGCACCAGCAATCTCTCGCCGGTAACGACCACTGGTCCCACGGCGGCGATCGCCGTCTTCCATCGCCCGGTGGAGAACCTGCGCGGTTTTCCGTTCGGATCGTCGGCGCCTTCCGAGTCATTGACGGGCTCCCGTCGCAGTGCTGTGATGCGAGCGCGCGTCCTCCGTTCATTGTTCAAATCCTAAATTGCGGTGCTCTCTTGTTCAGGTACGTCCGATCGCCTCGTCTTCTGTTGATTCCCAAACGCATAAAGTCTCAAACCCAAGCCTGCTCTTTCGAAATTCGAATGGCTCAAACCCTCAAACCCTAATTGCGATGCTCTCTTGTTCAGGGTTCCTTGCTCCTTCGATTTTCGAATCGCCTAAATTTCGGTTCTATCTTGTTCAGGTACGTCCGATTCACTGATCGTTGTGTCTTCTGTTGATTTATTGATTGAGGGTTGGTCGAGGCTTTATGTCTTCTGTTGATTTTGGGTGAGTTATCGATTTATTCATTGAGGGTTGTTTCCGCTTCGAGGATTTATGTCTTCTGTTGATTTTGGGTGAGTCATTCATTGAGGGTCATTTTGGAAAATGAGAAGCTAATTGATAGCTTGTTTTTTAATGACAAGCTTCTTCGATAACAATGTCCCAAGATGAGCTCACCGACTTTACCGCCGCCGGCAACCACTACGATAGGGTAGTAGAGGAGCAGATGATGTGAGTAAATTTGGACATCTCCAAGTCAATTGAAGTATAATTTTTGTTTTTCACTGTCAATCTCGTGTAATGTGCAGTGAATCAAAGAAGAGGAGGGAGACATCCCTACAATACCTGAGGAGTATAGATGAGAAACTATCGAGGTGATTCGACTTTTTTTCTTTTGTATATGTTTTCCGATTGTTGTCCAATACGTTAAGTGTGAGTGAGTGAAATTCGTGAAGAGTAACCATTCTTCTGCGCATTCACCCCATTTCCTAATGCTATGTTGCACACTTGTGGCTTATACTTCTGAATAACTCTGGAATATCAAGTAGTTTAATTAGTTAAGCTGATTCATGTTCAATTTCTTCGTTTTATTGAACTCTTTGTTTTGCAGCGAGATGGCTGAGATCAAGGTCAAGATTGATCAAGTGTGCTCGGACGCTGAGGAAAATGGGTAAATTTAATAAGTTATACATGTAATTGGTAATGTTAACTTTTGCTTCAATATAATGTTTATATCTGGTGAATATATTTTTTTTTTGTAGACAACTATCCCTAAATGCATTCCAAAGCCGCTCTGCAGAGGTAAGTGATGAACTGTATTGAATTAGTCGACTTCAATAACATGGGATTTTACTTGATTTGACGACGACACGCAGTACGAGAACAAATTGAAGAACGAGAGCGAGAAGCTAAACAAAACCTCTCGTGATGAGATGATTTATGGAGGTAACATTATTTGGTTAGGTCTGGTAAGTTTATGAGGTTTTCCGAATAAGCTGATTTGGTTATGTTGGTCTTGTACTTTTCCATAGATGAATTTCATAAATTCGAAGCGGAGAAGGAAAAGTTCATGGCATGGCTTGAAGAATCAAGAAATATGGGGAAGGATAAGCTGGGAACAATTGATGATCACATTAAGCAAGTGAATTACTGCATTAAAAGGAGGAAAAAGGTAATTTAATGGTTATGGATATGGGATGTGTTTTTGCAGTCGCTCGATGCATGCTTACTATAACACGTGGATATTGTTTTTTTTTTTTTTTTCGAAATGCAGGTCTATGACGATGCTAGGGCTTTGGTGAAGTTGGATGCGGCAGATTCGGTGGATGAAATGCGTGTGGATCCCACAACCACAACATCAACATCATAGGTCCCTCCCTCCCCGCGGAGCAGTTTAAAGCTGATTGCTTGTTGATTTTAGGGAACCATTCAACTTCTTCCTCTGGGAACACATTGTTGGATATTGAAAATTTTGATCAGGTTGCAAATGCCCTAGCCACCGAGTTTGACTTGCTTTTGGGAACACTTGGATGATCTCGCATGTGCCGTGACTACTTTGGCTTGTATAAGGATTTGATTCCTACTCAACACTATCTTTGGTTTGATGACTTTGTTACGGATGATCGCAAATGACTTTGTTAACGATGTGATGACTTTGTAAGTTATTTTTGAGAGATTGTGAGTGGGAAAAGGCATTGTGGATGTGATCCTAGTTAACCGAATTAAATGATGGGTTCATCTTGAATTTGTCCCCGTGTCTGGGCACCCAAAAATGGCGGAACCTTATATGGCCCAAGTTGCAAGATTTACTTTGGAGCTTGATGCAATTAATTTATATGTTTAAATCGATCAGTCAAATTTGTGGATGACTATTATTAGGTTTGACTTCCATCGTCTGTCATGGGTTCCTTACCTGGAATGGTAAGGCCAATCTCACTTTGCCGTACGATACAGATTGGATGAACATATGGTCCATCATGAAGGTGCCGAAGAGCAGCCACTGACAGGTTAATTTCTTGGTGATGTCATATTGGAAAATCATCGGGCCACCACACACGGGAGCTTGCATCACTTCTCTACACCGGAAAAGCTACATATTCAATTTAGTACCTGACTATATAAAAATATCCAATATAATTCAGGGATTATATTGAACATGTATTAAAAATTCATAGATCACATTGAACAAATTAAAAGTTCAGGAATCACATTAAATATTAGGCTAAAATTCAGGGATTATATTGAATAAATTAAATAGTTAGGGATCATGTTCCAAATTTGCCAAAGTTCAAACTGTTTACGGCATTATCCCTTGGTAGCAACCCGCAGTAGAGAGAGAGAGAGAGAGAGAGAGAGAGAGAGAGAGAGAGAAGGAGAGGAGAATTGGGATTGAAAGGGAACAATAGATAATAATATTTTCTCTGTCTACAACTGTGCATAACCGAAGCATTTAAATAAAGATGAACAAAACAACAACTTGCTAAATTCTAAGAAAGACTAACCCACTACTAAAACCTACGAAGCACTCTGGGAAAGTGGGGCTGATTTCCCAAGATTTTCTCTAACTTCTCTCATACATGGCTTGACTTGTTCAGCCACTATCTCCTTTAACGCCACTTCATCTTGCTTCTTTCTATTTTTCCGAAAATATGTCTTGAGAGGAAGAGGAGGTAACATAGATGGTAGCATCTTCTCAGTACTCCCCCCCTGAAAACTCGCCTTGTCCTCAAGGCGAAAGCCTGGAAATTGACCTGCTAAAAGGTCATAATCTTCCCAAGAAGCTTCTTTGAAAGGGCGATTTTCCCATTGGACCAGAACTTCAAGAGCTGGAGGATTGGATTGTGACACCCAACGATGGTCCAATACCTTTGCTAGTGTTAAGATGAGCTCCCAATCATTTGAAAGAGGCAAAGGTGTTGGTGGATTGGATGGATTGTGACCACGGGCATAACGCAACAAAGACACATGAAAGATAGGATGGATTTTGGAATCTGAAGGCAACTCCAGCTCATATGCTACTGGTCCAACTCGACGAAGGACTATGTAAGGGCCGAAATATCGCGGAGAAAGTTTTTCATATTTTCTTTTTGATAAGGAACGTTGGCGGAATGGCTGGATGCGGAGAAAAACTGCTTCACCTTCTTGAAAAACCAGCTCTCGACGGTGGGAATCTGCCTGCGCCTTCATCCTAGATTGAGCTTTGAGAAGGTTGTCCCGTAGAAGCTTGAGCATTTCATCACGGTCCTGCAGCTGCAATTCAAGTTCAGCAATGTGTGTTTCTCCCGGAATAAAAGGGTGAAGCTGTGGAGGATCTCTTCCTTAGAGCGCCTTGAAAGGAGTGGTTCCAGTTGAAGTATGGAACCCCGTGTTGAAGGAAAATTCTACCCAGGAGATGTATTTGCTCCAAGTTGCTGGTCTTTCATGTGCGAAACATCGCAGGTAGCCTTCTAAACAACGATTTACCACTTCCGTTTGCCCGTCCGATTGGGGATGGTAAGAAGTGCCCATTCAAAGCCTAGTTTGATTGAGTCGGAATAGCTCTTGCCAAAAAGCACTCAGGAAAAGCGGGTCACGATCGGATAATATAGAACGGGGTATGCCATGCAATCTCACGATCTCTCTGCAAAAAAGAGCAGTCACAGTTTTGATAGTAAAAGGATGGGTCAGTGAAACAAAATGACTATATTTGGTGAGTCTGTCCACGACTACCAAGATGGTGTCGTCTCCACCAGACTTTGGAAGCCCTGTGATAAAATCAAGTGAAATGTCTTCCCAAACTCTTTCTGGAATAGGTAGTGGCTGTAAAAGGCCTGCTGGTGCCAGCGTTTGGTACTTTGTTTGTTGACAAACCATGCAATTCTGAACATAGCGCTTCACATCTTGCTTCATTTGAGGCCAGAAAAAACACGAGTTGAGGCGCTTAAGTGTCTTGAGATAACCGCCATGCCCTCCGACTAATGAATCATGGGACTCGGCCAATAATTTCGACCGTAGGGAGGAATCATCCGGAATGACCGACCTGTCTTTGTTGAAGAGCTTGTTGTCAGCAATGTGAAAATCAGGTTTGGAAGACAGATCCTGTTGGAGAGCTTCAATGATACCCTTAGTGTATGGATCGCGGTGTAAAGAATTGGGCAAGGTCAGGAAATCCATATTGACAGGCAGAGCTAAGGCCATGAAATCTGCATGTTGTGGCCGTCGTGACAATGCATCAGCCCCTTGGTTCGTCTTCCCAGATTTGTATAATATGGTGAAGTCGAAAGGGAGCAATTTCAGAAGAAGGCGCTGCTGTTCGTTAGTGGTGATGCGCTGATTCAACATATACTTAAGGCTGCAATGGTCAGTTTTCACAAAAAAATGTCGCCCTAACAAATAGTGCTTCCATTTTTGCAAAGCCAAAACCAAAGCGAGTAACTCACAGTCATAAGTAGATTTATAACGGTTTGAAAAGGAAAAACCGTTACTAAAGTATGCAATAGGGTGTTCGGATTGCAAGAGGACACCACCCACTCCTTCTGAAGATGCATCACACTCTACTGTGAAGGGGCGGCCAAAATTGGGCAGCCCAAGACCAGGAACATGGTGAGTGCAGTTTTCAACTGATCGAACGCCAAATCCGCCTGCTTGGACCATTGAAATGCATTCTTCTTAGTCAAATCTATAAAAGGCCGCGCAATCAATCCATAGTTCTTCACAAAGCGGCAGTAATACCCAGTGAGACCCAAGAATCCACGCAACTCCTTGACATTCTTAGGTATCGGCCAATTCAACACAATTTGCACTTTGTCTTGATCAACGCCAACTCCTTGGTTGCTGACCCAAAAATCGAAGTTGTGGTTGCCCAAAAAGACATTTCTTCGCGCTGGCCAAGAATGAGTGTGTTTGTAATACTTCAAGGGCTAATTGTAGATGGGTGAGGTGCTGGTCCAAGGTGGGGCTGCATATTAGGATGTCGTCGAAGAAGACTAAGACAAATTTTCGAAGGTAGGAACGGAAAAGGTCGGTCATGGCTGATTGAAAAGTTGAGGGGGCGTTTGTGAGGCCAAATGGCATAACCACAAACTCGTAATGGCCCGAATGGGTGCGGAAAGCAGTTTTGTGGATATCAGGAGGATGGACGCGAATTTGATGATAGCTTGAGCGGAGGTCAATTTTGGAAAAAAATTGTGGCTCCGTGTAGTTCATCCAAGAGCTCATCTATATTGGGAATGGGGTACTTGTCGGGTATGGTCATTTGGTTTAAAGCCCTATAGTCTACACATAATCTCCAGGTGTTATCTTTCTTCTGGACTAAGAGGACTAGGCTAGCAAAGGGGCTTGAAATGGGGCGGATGAAACCAGCTTGGAGAAGCTCATCGATTTGCTTCTCAATCTCAGCTTTGTGATGATATGGGTATCAATAAGGTCTAATGTTGGGTGGCTTGGAATTGGGTAGTAATGGGATGGCATGAAAGTGAGATCGGAAGGGCGGAGGTGTTGTGGGTTCAGCGAAGACAGCCTCAAATTCATGTAATAAAGAATTTACTGCTGGTGGAGGAGGGTTACCTGGTGTCACCATGGATTTGGTGACGTTGAGCTTCGAAATGGCTTGAAAAGAGGCTTCGGCTTTAGATAGTGCTAGAACTCCTTGAAGCCGATAGCGCTTTCCATCTATATAAAAGATCATAAACATCTCATTCCAATTTGCTTGCACAGTGTTGAGCGACACAAGCCATTTGATCCCCAATACTAAGTCAGCCCCTCCAATGGTGAATGGATAGAAGTCCTGGGTAATCTACAAACCCGATAGCTGTACCGGTACCTTACAACAAACTTGATTACATCGTATGACTTCCCCATTACCAATCTGAACACCAAAAGGCACTATATTCTCAATGGGAATATTCATCGATGCTACCAGCGATGAAGTGATAAAATTATGGGTCGATCCACTATCAACCAATATGAGGATAGGCGAGCCCATTAAAGAACCCTTAAGCTTCGTGGTTGTGCCACTGGCTCTTCCCAGAATCGCATGTAACGAGATTTCTGCAAAATCTGTCTCGAGTTCTTCTTCTTCGCCACGCTCCACCAACTGCTCATCTGCAGCGTCTTCCGCATCATTCGTCTCCATGAGAGAAAAAGACGACAGCTTGCAACGATGTCCTGGAGCAAACTTCTCGTTGCATCGGAAGCATAGGCCTTTCGCAATGCGGTTTTGGCGCTCCCCATCTGAAAGTCGCGCTGAAGTTGTTAGGTTGGAAGGTAGATTTGATGTCCCTGTGTTGCGCGAATTAACATTCGCCGTAGTTGGGACATGCTGAACACCCTCAACCAGCGTGGGACGGAAAGGGAAGGAAGAGGCAGTAGGTGGAGGACGGTTGAAGTTGGACCAGTTAGATCCCCTTGTTCCACGTCCCGAGCCGAGCTTGGTTTCAAACTCTAAAGCTAGGCTCATAGCCTTGTAGACAGTCCGGGGTTTATGAATACAAACATCAGCCTTGAGTTCCTCCTTTCAGTCCATTGAGGAACACCCCCAACAAGCAGTGCTCCGGCCAGTTGGAAACCCGAGCTGAACGTTTGGCAAATTCTTGCCGATACTCCTGTACAGATCCAATTTGACGTATTCCGCACAAGTGTTCGTCGGGATTCTGAAATTCCGCCGGTCCGTAATTCTCTTGTAGGGTTTTAACAAGTTCCTCCCAATAGACCAATGTCCGCTCTTTGTTAATCCAAGCGAACAAATCTAGCGCATCACCCTCAAGGTACATTGCCGCGACGTCAACTTTCAATTCATCGGGCGTTTCATAATAGCGGAAATATTTCTCCGCCTTGAGTATCCATCCACGAGGATCTCCTCCCTCGAATTTTGGAAATTCCATTTTTGTGTACGGCCGTCGGGTTTCATTGCGATGCCCCCATGGGTTGTTAGCCTCATCATCCTCCGTCTCGGACCAAACTGACTTCCTATGCTCCCTTGATCCGAAGGAAATTTCCTTGGCGTTGGCCTTGTTGGAAGCGCCAGGTAAGGATTCGGTTGGTGGTACACCGCTGGATTGCTCCTTGAGCGCTGCCACGTCAGCCACTAGGGAATCAATCGTTGCGAGGCGAGCCGCAATGAAGGCAAATTGTTGGGCAGAGGCGTCAGCATCTGGTGGTGGGGCTGAGAGGGATTCAGTAGGAAGGTTGGTAAGCGGAGAGGTGTGTGGAGGCGTAGGTAGCAGGGTTGGTTGTGTGTTGGGGGGTGGGTTTTGGGAGTCAAGGTTCGAAGAGCTGGAACGCGTATTCACCATGATGGTTCGATTGGCTCTGATACCAAAATGGTAGCAACCCGCAGTAGAGAGAGAGAAAAGGAGAGACGGAGAAGGAGAGGAGAATTGGGATTGAAAGGGAACAATAGATAATAATATTTTCTCTGTCTACAACTGTGCATAACCGAAGCATTTAAATAAAGATGAACAAAACAACAACTTGCTAAATTCTAAAAAAGGCTAACCCACTGCTAAAATCTACGAAGCACTCTAGGAAAGCGGGGCTAATTTCCCAAGATTTTCTCTAACTTCTCCCGTACATGGCTTGACTTGTTCAGCCACTATCTCCTTTAACGCCACTTCATTTTGCTTCTTTCTATTTTTCCGAAAATATGTCTTGAGAGGAAGAGGAGGTAACATAGGTGGTAGCATCTTATCATCCCTAGCTGCGATGTAATTACTGGCAATGTTAGATTGGAGCCGGTTTGCCTTTCGTTAGTAGTTAACTCTACTGGTCGACACGAAGAACGTCACAGAAGCTCCAGAATAATCACGAAATATACTCTCTCTCGGTCTCGCTTTTCCCTCTCTTGTTCCACGGCCGCTCAATCTCCGATCACCACCATCACCTCCGGCGATTCGCCGTCGCGGTTCCTCCTCCTCGTCGGCTGCGGCTCAGTTCACTTCTTCGGTTGCGGTTGCGGTTGCGGTGCCGTTCGGTCGTGTCTCCGATCGTGCTCTGCTCGGACCGCGAAGCTGGTCCTCTGATTCGTCGTCGCTCGTCTCTGTGATCGATCGTCGAAGGTGATAATCTTAGATGTCAGTAATAATCTCCGAGGATCTCTAGCTCGAATGACATGATCTCAAGTTCTTCCATCTTTCTTTCGAACCGAGTAGGAGTCCAGTGTTGTCAGGTTGGACTTGTTGCTAAGTTCGGATGCTCTTGTCGATGGGTATGGTTCCTGTCACAGTCCGTAACCTGTAGTTCAGTGTGTACGGAGGCCTTGGGCGCACTGAATTTACCTTGGTTATTCCAGTTTCAGTTTAGTTTTATGTTTGGCCGAGAGGTAGTTTAACGCCTACAACCTGTTTGATAAAATTCCTGATTCAATCGTAAATAGTTAGTTCCTGTGATATTCTGTTCGCAGGCGGTTTGGTATTCAACTGAAGTTCTCTATTGAATTGAGAAGGATTTCTACTGGTCTCCCCTTCGCGTGGTGGATTCACAATCCACGGCCTTGATCGACTTGGCTACATTCGCCCTTATCCCCGCAGAGGTTTCGGTTGTTCGTTGTGTCTTGCTGCCTCTTTGTTCTATTTCCATGTTTCTCGTACATGCTTACAGAAGAATTTGCTCTTTCTGGTGTTGTCTTGGTATTGTTCACAGGTGTTGTCATGAAGGATGAGCCCAAAAGGAATAATGTAGTTCTTTGTTTGCGTTGTTGCAGGCTGCTAAATACAGGGCATTATGAGCGGAGAAGCAACACAGAAATCTGGCGTTCCTCAAATCATCAAATCTAATGTGGCTTTGAAACTAGTAATGGGCTTTTGATATATCATGGTTGACGAAACAGTGTTGTTAATTGTATACTTAATCATTGCGAGTCTCGGTTTACTATGTAGTTGAATTCTTAATTTCCTACGGCCATTAATTCATGAAATTTTTAATGATTGCTAGAGGGGTTTTTGTAGTACTAAAGCTATTATGGAGTTCAAAATTAATCATCAAAACGTGGTCACTTGATTGTGTCCAACTTAGACCCCGAGAAGATAACGTATTATACCTCTTTTATTACAATGGACCATCAGGATTTTGTGAACAATCATCATTGCATCAATGGGCTCATGAATATCATTTAATAATTCTGGTTTTGTTTTAATCTTTGGTTGTCGCTTTTTTACTTTTGACTCATTCTAAAGCTCATGTTTGTCATTTGATTTCTATTTTTTCTGCCACTGATGCAAACATGCTTATGTTTAGGCTGAACAATGGGTCAATAATATGACTAAAGTTGCTGAGGACGAGCAAACAGAGGCAGAATCCGATGGTCGACCGTCTAGGTCAGTGTAGGCTATCTTCTTAATATTCCCGTGTAATATTTCCCTAGTTGTGTTATTGTTAAGTCGAATTCAAATCTTTCTATAGACTCGGTCTTGGTGCAAAGTTTTCATGTCAAATGAGACCTGGACCTTTAAATGACCCCGTGGAAAGGAAATTGTTTGCCAACTTGCAGTCTGGAAAAAGAAAAGCTGCGAAAGATGCTGAGGAGTCCGGCCCAACTGCGAGAGATCCAGGTGGCGATAGTGATATCGATGACGAGTTAGAAAGCAGAGCGAGTGCTTTTGCAAAGAAGAGAGCAATTGCTCCACCCGTCCCTGTAACAATGAAGAAGAAACGGAGATAACCACTAGAAAGGATTATTTTTTTGGTCGTCGAAAGGTAAACCTAGACCGTTGAACAGGGTTGGTTCTTCCAGAAGATTATTCCCCGTGTTTGCTGAGATCGAAATACAATAGGAATTCTTCATTTTCCTACTCCATAAGAGAGGTCCACTTATTCAATGAGTTTTCAATGTACTAGCCAAGTGATGCTTGATACGATGGCTGATCTCTTATGTTGCTAGTTTTGATTTTCTTATTGTGTATCTTGTGTCATATTTAATATTTGTTACTCTTTTTCCAAGCAAAAAAGGTAATATCCATATTCAAATCGAAACGGGTGTTCAAAGCTAGGAACAAACTATCAGCAGCATACCTGGGGAAACAAGTAGACCTAGTGAGGTGCTTCAGAGCCGAAATTACCTGGGCCAACACTAGCCAAAGTACCTGATTGTACAGCAGGTGGTCCTAGACAAACTCTCCCTCTTCTCCAAGTTCATGGAATGTTGTGAGGCATATTTTGCTTATCGGTATAACATGACTATGCCTCTTTTGGCAAGTTCTTGGTTATTCAGAGCCTGAGTACTTGAGATAGATCTTGCACAGAAGCGCCTTCTACTCTTGCTGGAGCTTTCAATCCTGGCAAGTCCTCACGAAAACAACATCAGTTGTCTCCCGAAGCTCATTATTCCAATACAAGTGCTTCTAGTGCAGTTGGAAGAGCCACCAAAGTTATCGCTCGTTTGTCAGCTCTTACAATTGGAGAAGACATTCAAGGTGTTACTAGCCCAGAGCGGTACTGTCTTCAGGCTGAAGGAAGGCATGCAGTTGGTTCAACTAGTGAGGAGTGTGACAATAATACTCGAAAAGTAATATCCGATCTCTTGGAAGTTTTTTTAGATGGAGAGTGCAAATGAAGTTATTGTGAATTCGTTCCATCTGCTGGTTCGGAACAGTTTCTGATGAATGGGTTGTCGAATTTGTAAAGGACCACCTATTGTAGCTCTTTCAAGATTGCAATTGACACTCCCTCTTGGCCTTGTCTTTCCACCTGCTTTCTCCATTCATCCTGAACTTGAACTTACCGTGCGCTACAACATTTATCAATTGTATCAATCATCAAGGCCATGAGGAATTATGAAAATTTATAAATAGTAGAAAGTTGAGTGACTAGATTGAGCATATAGAAATAATTCAAGGACCGCATAGAATGAATTAAAAGCCCACATGTACCCATTATAGTGAGCATGCATTGAGTGACTCAATCTATTTTTCATGTACTCATTTAGTTCGTGTATGTTATCATCATATGTTATCGTCAAATGCTACTAGCAAACCCTTCTCTTCTGTTTTGTTTCTTTAGAATATGTCGAGAACTTTTTCCCGTCCTCAAGCATCTGTGTAAAAGTACATGGCCAACATAACCAAATCAGTTTAACACTAGTCAAGAACGTTATATTGGGAAAAATCATAAACTTACTGTACTAACCAAATAAAGTTACCTCTAAAAATCTGATAATTAGAAGTTTCGTAATTGGAAATCTCTTGTCCAGCTTTTCAGTCTCACCCTTTCATTGCATATCATCGTCAAATCAAGTAAAATAATCTCTTAGGCAAAACCATGTTATTGAGGTTCCTCACTTAATTCTCCAGAGCTTCTTTGGAATGAATCTCTCAATCATTGTCTACAAAAAAACATATTCATCGATATAATGTATCGAAGCAAAAATTAACATTACCAATTGCATGTATAACTTATTAAATTTACACATTTTCCTCAAAATCTAAAAGCAGTCAATCAATCTTGAACTTCATCTCAGACATCTCCTTGCAAAATCAGAGTTCAATATAACGATGTAAATAAAGTTATTATCATTGAAATAGAACATGCTTTGGCTTAACTATTTGAACGACTTTATTGAATTAAATAAGTGGGATATACAACATAAGTTTAGGAAATGGTGTTAACGCGTAGCAGAATTGAGACTCTTCACGAATTTCAGTCACTCAAAACTTTAAGAGTTCAATGTATCGAACAAAAATCAAGAAAACGAATAAAAAAGAAAAACAAGTCGAATCACCTTGATAGTTTCTTATCCATATTTCCGAGGTATCATAGAGCTACATCTCTTGCGGACTTTACTTCATTGCACATTTCACAAGATCGAAAGTGAAAAAAACAAGTTACTGCAATCGACTCGAAGATGTCCAAATCTATTTACATCTTCCTTTTTTTGCTTCTGTTGGTAGTCATCGCTATCCCTCGCTTCCGATAGACCCTAAAGGTGGACATTGGGCACGTTTTTGAAAGAAGGGACCTGAATCGAAACTTGAGAAAGTCTAAAAGGAATGATAATTCGGATAATTAATGGACGGAACAGATCAAGCATCTAATAAAGACTTAAATAATACATAGATATTTAAACAACGTAATGTGCATAGCGATTACAGCAAGAGCGAGAAGATTAAAAAAGCATCTCATTCCAAAATGACCCTAACATGAAACAAGTAGACCCAAAAGCGTACACATTCATTACATCGAGAAAATTGAATAAGCTTCTCATTCCAAAATAACCGTGTACATTGATATAGTCATATCAAGTTGATATTCTTACTATTTTAGTTTCCTAATTTATAAATTGCACTAAATTTAAATAAGAATACACGAAAAATTAGGAACAATTAGATTAATATAAGACAAGAATCTATAGATTAATTAATATCGTTATTAAATATTCTTACGAAACCTTTATTTTTGGAATGAAAGAATATGAATATCATATTACTCTAACTGAGGTTATATTTTCATCATCGTAGATATTATAAGTTAAAATATACTTAACTACATCTGAGGTGAGTCAATTGGCCAAACTTTGACTAGGTATAACCTTTCCATCCTAGGTCTAACTCGATTTTTACATCAACGGAAAGCTCTCGAGCCGAACATTTGAAAATGCGATTCAATTTTCAAAAATTTGTCATATAGCGAATTTCTAGAATTTGGGCCAAACGTATGTCGTGATGGAAAGATAATATTTTCTCCATTAAAAATCCACTCAATAGTGTAGTTATGAAAATTTATGGATAGTAGAAAGTTGAGGGACTAGATTGAATAGTTAAGAATAATTTAAGGACTTAATAGAATGAATTAAAAGTCCACATATACCCGTCACGATGAGCATGCATCGAGCCACTCCAAACACACAACCCGTATCAAGAACTATTAAATTACCCAATTTCTTTTTCTACCCTTCTCCTTCTGTCTTGTTTCTTTAAAATATGTCGAGAACTTTTCCTTGTCCTCGAGCATTTATGGAAAAGTATATGGCCAACATAACCAAATTAGTTCTAACACTAGTCAAGAACGTTATATTGGGAAAAACTCATAAACTTAGCGGACTAACCAAATAAAGTTACCTCTAAAAGTTTGATAATGGGAAGCTCCGTAATTGGAAATCTCCTCATAGAGTTTGTCCAGCTTCTCACCCTCCCTCTTCATTCTGTTTTCATATTACATATCATTGTCAAATCAAGTAAAATCGTCTCTGCGATGAAATCATGTTATTGAGATTGATTAATTCAATATGGTTCCACGCTTACTTCTCGGAGCTTCTTTGGAATGAATCTACCTATCGTCATCTACAAAAGAAAATATATATTGTACTGAAGCAAAAGTTAACATTACCAATTGCATGTATAACTTGTTAAATTTATCTATTTTCCTCAAAATCTAATCACGGTCAATCAATCTTGGACTTCGTCTCAGACAGCTCCTTGCAAAACAAGAGTTCAATATAACGATGAAAAAAAAAGTTATTATCATTGAAATAGAACATGCCTCGGCTTAATTAATTTTTTTTATTTGTCAAAATTGGCTTAATTAATTAAACGACTTTATTTGGATATATAAGTCATGGATAAGCTAAACAAGTGGGATGTGCAACATACATTTAGGAAATGGTGTGAACACGTAGAGGAATTGAGGATCGAAAGTGAAAAAAAGAAATTACTACATTCGACTTGGAGAAGTCCAAATCTACTCACATCTTCCTTGCTATCCCCGCTTCCAATAGACCCTAAAGGTGGATATTGTGCACGTTTTTTAACCGCTTCCGATAGACCCTAAAGGTGGATATTGTGCACGTTTTTTAAAGGAGCGATCTTAATGAATATGAATTGAAGTCTTGGGAAGTCTAAAAGCAATGATAATTTAGATGATTAATGAATAAAATCGGCCAAACATCTAATAAAGACTTAAATAACACACAAATATTTAAACCCTATGTACGGAGCGTGCATATCAATTACAGTGAGAGCGAGAACATCGAAAAACCTTCTCATTCCAAAACAACCCTAACATGAAACGAATAGACCCAAAAGCGCGCACATTGATTACAACGAGAAAATTGAAGAAGCTTCTCATTCCAAAACAACTGTGTGTATCGATTACGGTCATATCGGGTTAATGTTCCTACTATTTTAATTTTTTAATTTACAAATTGAACTAAATTTAATTAAGAATACACAAGACACAAAAACTTGAAAATTTTATATCTGTAAAAAATTAGAAACAATATTTAGATTAATATAAGTATGAGAATCTATAGATAAATTAATATAATTATTAAATATTTTTACGAAACCTTTATTTTTGAAATAAAAGAAATACGAATATGATATAACTCTAAATGAGGTTATATTTTTATTATCATAGAGATCATAAGTTAAAATATTCTTAACTACATTCGACGAGAGTCAATTGGCCGAACTTTGACCGGTATAATCTTTCCATCTGAGGTCTGATTGACTCGATTTATACATCTACAGAAAGCTCCTAAGCAGAACTTTTGAAAATGCAATTCAATTTTCAAAAATTTGGCAAAATAACGAATTTTCGGAATTCGGGCCAAACATATGTCATAAACATAATATTTTCTTGGTTAAAAATCCGATCAACAGTGTAATTATGAAAATTTATGAATAGTAGAAAGTTGAAGGATTAGATTGCACATAGAGAAATATTTCAAGTACCACATAGAATGAATTAAACATTCACATACCTGTTATAATGACCATGCATGGAGCGACTCAAAAAATATAACCTGTGTCTTGAACTATAAAATTACCTGTATCCTTTTCTTCATGTATCCTTTTCTTCATGTACTCTTTTCTTCCTAAACTCATTCACTTCGTTATCCTCAAATGCTGCTAGCAAAACCTTCTCCTTTTGTCTTGTTTCTTTAAAATATGTGGAGAACGTTTGC